ATCAAATTAAATAGATTAAATTGATGGTATAGTGCTCAATTAATTAGTGTTAATAAATGTGATTAAGGGAGTTTGTATAAAAGGGCCATTATACACTCAATTCCTTTCTTTTTATTCAATTTGGCTGAGATTAACTCTCTAGAGGGAGAGAAGGCCGAACCTAGTGAGAGAGAGGGGCCAACATTGAAGATTTGCTCAAGAAGCTTGAAGATCTTAGAGTGCAACTCAAGAATTAACCATAATTTGGAAGATTTAAGCTACTATGTGAGTAATTGGTTATGATTTCATAAGATTGAAGTTGTGATTTTGTGAATTCAAGTTAGATGATCATCTAGAGCTTGAATTGAAGTTGGTATGTTCATGCATGCATAAAATTGCCATGAATTTGCATAAACTAGCATGTAATATGTTGATTATGAAAAATTGAGCATTGAAGCATACATGCAAGCATGGTTTTGTTGAGTTTCATGATTATAGACACCAATGGTGTCATTTAAAATGGAATTGGAGTCAAAAGTAAGCATGCATGTATAATTCAAGGAGTTTTTGGAATTTGAGCATATGTATATTGAAATTGAATTTTGAAGCTATGCGTTTTGTTGTGATGAATTGAGGGTTGGATTATGATTATGAGCAATTGGCCTCATATTGCTTGTATACTCATGATATACAATCTGTTTCCACGTTTTTGGGCCGAAATCATATATTTAAAGCCTTTGAATGTCGAATTTGATCCTCAAGAACAGTTCTGGAAAACCCAAAATTCGTGATGTCCGCTCGAGCGGGGAAAGCGCCGCTCGAGCGTGAAATACGAGCTCCCAGTATTTTTGCAAACATTGATGTCTGCTCGAGCGGGGACATTCACGCTCGAGAGGGGAGCCTTGTAGTGTGACCTTCAGCTCGAGCGTCCGAGTTCACGCTTAAGCGTAAAAATGAGGCAACCAGTACTTTTGCAGACCAGGACGGTCCGCTCGAGTGGCGGAACCCATGCTCAAGCGGGGACCCCTATTTCAGAAATTTTGTAAAAGTGTTCTGTGTTTCATTTTCCGTTCTCTTTCACTTCTAAGTACTCTTAGGCATGCATTGAGCATTATGAATGAATTAAAAGGATAAGAAGGAAGCCTAAGAGGGATGTATAAATTAAGAACGGATTGAATCGTTTGTGACCCATATGTGTTATGTAATGTGTAGGGTCGAGCTCAAGGGTGAATCCACCGGCAGAACACTGTGAGTAATATCTTAATAAAGATATCTGAAGTATGTTATTTGTCCAATTGCTTATTTCTATATAAGTCTTATAAGTTTGTTACATTGAATTGTGGGACAAATATTTGTATGACATGAATGAATGGGCCAGAGGTCGTATGACATGAATGAATGGGCCAGAGGCCGTATGACATGAATGATTGGGCCAAAAACGTCTGACATGAATGATAGTCTGACATATGAATGATTGGGCCAAAGGTCGTCTGACATGAATGATAGTTTGATATGAACGACTGGGCCGAAGGGCGTCGGATCTGAACGATTGGGCCAAAGGCCGTCGGATACGAATGATTAGGCCAAAAGGCCGTTAGACATGAATGAATGGGCCAAAGGCCGTCGGGTATGAGTTAATTGGGCCCGAGAACGTTTGATACGTCTAGAACTTTAGTCGATTGATACATTAAATAGAAACATAAATTGGGCCCAAGGCCGTCTAATGTAACTGTATCAAAGATTGTTCATGTATCTTCCTTATTTGATATTATTCACTGGGCTTTCGCTCACGCTCATTCATGTCTATGTAGGTGAGCCAAGGGACGTTGAAACCCAGTCCCGGTGAAATATGTGAGAAATAGTCAAGGTTTTGGAGAGTCAGCCCAAACGTCTCACGCACGAGACTTGTCTTCGCCTCTTTTGCTCTTTTGATATGATTTTGTTATATTGGCGAAAACATTGGATTACTTTTGTATATAAGTTTTGGTTAGGCTGACTAAGACTTGAATGATTCTATGTATGTACAGAACTTTGTGTTGTTATCCTTTTGGTGCGAGTTACTGACAGGTATATATATATATGAACTGTTATGATGTGCCATGTAAGCACAGCTCTATGGACAAAAGTTTTAAATTTTGCTTCTGTTAGGCCCTTTTACTCTGATGAGCTATGTCTTGTTTGGTTTGAGGTCGTAGGTAATCCCTTGATTACTGGCCGATTATGCCCTTAACCCATAGGGGCAGGTTCAGATCATGACAGTAACAGATCAGTTTGGTTTCTATTTCTGATGTATAACTCCTTCTGTTGATGTTGCATTTCTTGGTGCTGTTTGATGGGAGTGAAATTGGTAGTGTTGGAAGGTTGCCTTGTTGTATGGTTGGTTGTTTTCCTGTTTTTTGTTTTGTTTTCCTGTTTTTTGTTTTGTTTACCTGTTTTGGATTAGCTTCTCACTAATCTGTGGGTTTAGTGCTAGCATATGATTGTGCTTTCTCCTTAGTGCCAACCTAGTTGGGATTGTGGAGTGATAGCTATGATGTGATTTGCACTTCCCTCCTTTATTGATGTTTATTGTAGCTTGTTTTGCTCATCCTCCCATCAATAAAGTTTCCTTTTTCTTTGCTGATCAAAAAAAATTTGAACTTGCTTAGCGATCAGGCTTGATAAGGTCATATTCATCTTGTACGTGTGCCGAAAACCAAGTTGGCCATGAACGAAGCTTTGAACCATGGTACTAGGTCATTGTGTTGCTGCAATGATCAAGCTTTTAATATTGGGTTACCTGCTTCAACCAAATTATAATCCCTCCTTTTGAATATGTTCCTAATGTTTGATTAAAAAAGTTGAAACATACATGTTGATGTGCAAAAATTATTGCGCATGATTGCCTTTATAGAAGAAAAAAAATGTTTACAAAAGATGTTTCTCATTGAAGAGAATACCATCCCTATAGGTGAAAAATAAAAAAATAAAAAAATAAAGTTTTGGCACATCAAATCACCTTTGGAGGGTTGGTATAGTGTTTGAAAGGCTTCAAAGATCATGTACCCAAAAAAGAGAAGCTTGCAAGATCAGATTCAAAGGTGAATAAAGAAAACACACTTTTGAGATGGAGAAAACAACTTCTTGCAGAAGACTAACACACACACACACACACACACACAAAAAAAAGGAAAAGAGCAAAGTCTGCTACTAACAAAGTAAGATTGGAACTGTTGGGGGGGGAGTCCTATACTTTACTAACATCACAATGACACTAAGATGCTTTTACTTTTAGTATTCCTTTATGTTTCTTCTTTCTACTTAACTAAACTCATATGTAATAATAAGAACTAATTCCATGTATGGAGTAGTCAAATCATGTAATGCCATAACTCAAAGCGATTCAATTTATTGTTTTGGTGACTAAATCCATGCTCCAAATCGAGCCAAGATTACATAAGTAAAAAACTGCAAAAAAAAAAAAAAAAAAACCCCAAGGGTTGGCCTAGTGGTAAAAGGACTCAAACTGGGATGTAAAATATAAAAGAAGCTTCATAGAAAAAGTGTGGCTCAAAACAAATTTATTTAGACTGAAGTTAAGTAATCAAAATATTTTCAAATATAGTAGAATTTCCAATTCAAAGACTTATACGATATAATTTGTCAAAAATCCATTGCAAGTCATTGCATAGTTGCGAGTTGAATTTATTTAGCTGTTTTGGACAAAATTTGGGGGGTTTTGGACCTAATTCAACAAACTTGAAAATCACCAAAATTATCACTTTGCCATTAAACAATCGAACTGTTCCATGAATTTACTTTCAAATGATTACTACATTGTCTAGACAAATATATAGTCTCAAATGGTATTGAGACAAATGTGTTAATCACATTCAATAATTTTACGAGCAAGAGTGACTGATCCCGATGCTCAAAGACAATAATATTATACCCATCAACCAATCGATTCAAAGTTACAAAAAGATTATAAAGCAAGTGCCAAGAGGTACAAAGCAAGAAATTAAATTTTCAGCTATTAAAGTTTACTTTTTTATGATTAGTCACTTGTCATGGGATTCTTCAATATGGAGCTTTGTTGTAGTTTTCCTAATTTGATTAAGCTTTTAAATTGCTTTTCATATATTCTTATGCAACTGGCTTGAATAAAAAGAAGTCTAACATTAAATTTAGATTGCCTTTTTGCTTACTCAGAAAATAAGACTACTGAATCATAATAACCCATTTTCATGAGTTACTCTGCTATGTTTAATTTTGTTTTTGAAAACCAAGTTAGCATCATGGAAACAAACTATAAGAAAAATAAGAAAATAGAAACAAGAATGTGTAGTTGTATCCTGTCCATGAACCTGATTATATCGTAAGCCTTGTGTAGTTTTTTTTTTATTATTATTATTTTGTTCACACAAAGTAGCGGATGTTAACTATTATGATTAATTTTTTCTATAACTTTTGGTTCAAAAATGATTTCCATATCCTTTTTTTCTTCTATTGACAGAGAAAAAGATCGAATTTTGCATTAATTGGTTGGTCACCTAGTTCATCACATAAACATGTCACGGTGGCAATGCAAAACTGCTAAATAATTTTTCACCAAACCAACCTTAGGATTGTTTCTGTTTATATTTACCTGTTAATGAATCTTTTTCAATGTGGCCATTCCATAGAAATCACAATGCATGCCTGGCGTTTTCAAACGCACACGTGGATGGATTTTAAATTAAAAAATAATTCACAAGCATAATTTTTATGCTAAAATATTTTTAAATTAACATGATATTGGCATTTTCAAAACTACGAGACAAAATAGTCGGTGTTTCGATTAACAATAAATAAACCACAAATAAAGATAGCATTCTTTATAATTCTATATAAAAATATCAAAAACCCTAAAAGTAAGAACAATGGGCCGCCTCTGACTTCCACTACCACATTCCAAACAAATAAACAAAAGCTAGCTACAGACCCAATCAAATGAGCTCCACACAATCACACTCACTCATATTAATGCAAACATAAATCTCTTGAATTCAATAATAATCTCTTTTTTCAAATAAAAATCATTTTTTATATGTATTGTACCGCCAACCCTACAATACATATAGAAACAGGAACAAGAGTACCTTTATTTATCACCCACCTTGTGCTAAATTTAGCTCAACTAAACAACAATTACCCTCTAAACTAATCTAAACTTCAGCTAAATTTAACGCATGTTCCTGTTCCAAAAGCCACCTCTAAACTATATAATACATTGGTTATTTAAAGTGATAATAACATAATATAATCCTAAAGAGGTGCCTAATCATCTGCAAGCCTGCCTACTACAGCTTGGCCCAGCATTGGCTGTTTTTCTTTGAGGGGTCACTTCTCTTTCTGTTTTCTCCTTTTTTTCTGTCTTGCTTTTGTTCAGGTCTTCTTCAGTACATCAATGTGGCTTCCAAGCTTTCCTTGCTTTTTATTTATTTTTTTTCTTTCTCTTTCTAAAGTGGAATTTTGGGTGAGTGAATAATGCTATTACTATATTAATGCCACGTCAAATGATTTGGTACAATAATTTAATCATTCTATAGCATTACTCATTTACCGTATCCAAACTTGGTGTAATGGAAAATTGAGTTAATTGCTTGAATTTCTTTTGCTTTCTCTTCTCTTCTCTATCTGAATGTTCTTCCAAACATTGTTGATGTCCAGAAATCAGCAGTAGTGTCATTGGCAACTGGAAAGGTGCTTGATATCGGTACAAGACAAAGTCCCCGGGCTCTCAAGTCTTGTTTTGGCCCTTCAGAGTCCCTCACTTTTTCACAAGTCTGCAAAATAAATGAATTACTCACCATAATATTGTATTTTTACTTGTGTTGTGTGGTAGGGTTAGTTTTCAATCTGAAAAGAAGACAACTTTAAATTTTTACCTGTTGGTGATGAATAGGTCCATTTTTCATATATGGAGTACTCAAAACCTGAATTATGCAAAGATAAATGTTCAGCAGTACTTAAGAACTATAATATATGTTCAATTTTCCTTTTTCTTTCAGCAAGGTTTAGTTTGAAGCCTTCAATATATGCCAATTGTTCAAGCAAGAAGATGAGGATATTGCAATTTAAAACATACACTGACTTGATTATGGAGGTGTTTGATGTATTCTATAGCTTCGTGGAGAACAGATGCAGTATTGGTCTGAAATGATGACACGATTGAAATTAAGCCAAAAAAGCCTTAACCCTTAAGCGATAATATCAAAAAGAAAATTACTCTTTGTAAACGCAGAAAGGAAAATTCCAAATTACTACCTTTCCAAAAGGAGAAACCAATTGTTGAAGAGCAGTTACCCGGTCCCCTAGCTTCTCTTTGCGGACCTGGGATAATAAAGGTACAACTTCTCATCCATTTCTTTGGACAAAAAAGTATTAATGTTAAAAGTATCGTACCTTAAAAGTTGGTAATGGTGATGGTGTTTCAATTCTCGGTCTTTTGAATGGAGGTTCGCCACTCCTTTTCTTTACCACTGAACCCGAGTCTTGAACTAGTTCTTTATTAGACTAGAATTTAAACATATATATATATATAAAAAAAAAATTCAGTTCCAAAACCCATGTAGCAATTTATGAACTTTTTGATTATTATGAACTAAAATCGCCTTATTTACCATTGCAATTATATTGGGGAAACTCGGCTTCTCTTCGAAATTTGATGCGTGGAATTGTGCTTGTGTTGAAGGAAAATAGCTAGAATTCCACAACTGTGAGCTGTTTGTTAAGTTTAAAGGACTAATGGGTTGTTGTTGCCTTAGTAGGGTAGACAAATTTGCCAAAGACGGTGAAATTTCGTTGAAGTTAGTCTGGTAATTTGTGTTAGACAGATAGTTGATGGACCGGTTGTCAAATAGAGATCTCTGTGGAGTAGAATCAGTATCATATAGAGTTTGCAGCAATTTTGAAGGGCAGCCATATGAAGCTGATTCCATTGGAAAGCTGGCAGTCACTGTGCAGTTGTTGGAGCTTGTGGCAGAGTTTAAACCTTGATTCAATTGATTGAATTCATTGACAGTTGAATCAGAAAAGCTCTTCAAATTCATACTCCTCCTCCACTCCTTTTTGATTTGAGGACAATCCATGTCTTCTTGAAGCATAGAAGAATGATAACTGCTTTCACTTCTTCCACTTCCACTAATTAATGCAAACATAAATAAGTAAATTAATAAAATAAAAGAAAAAAAAAATGAAGAAGAAGATAAAAACAAAGAGAATTGATTGATGAAATTGACTTCACTTTTCAAATGATTACATTGAAAACAAATCATAAGAATATCAAACTAACTTGGTAGTGGAAGTTATAGCACTATGAGGCCTATTATTTTGATTTAAAACTTCAACAATAATTCACATTAATTACAAAGAATATTATTATGTTATGTTACATAAAAATATACTCACAGTAGAATTTGCTTCCATTCTGGTGTTGTTGCTGATGATGATGATGATGATGATGATGAAAGGCCAACACCCATCATTTGCAAGGTTGAATCCATCAAGACACCGCCACCACGGGAGTCTGAAGTCTCCCTCTGATGAGGCTTTTGTATGTCTTGGAACACTACTAGTTCATCAGAAACTGAACCAGACTGCTCATGATCAGTACCAGTAGGAGGAGGACTTAGCCATCCAAAGCTTTGCATATTAATGGCGGCCGAACATGGAGACAACAACCCAAGTGAGCTTCTAGGCGAATTCCACCATATTCCACCACAAACCCCAGCTTGAAATTCATCTGCCATGCCCAAAAGATCGCTTATATGATGTGTTACTCTCTTTTCTTCCTCTTGTTTTTCTTGTTTTTTTTTTGTGTGTGTGTGTGTAGTTTTGGGTTTTCCTTCAATATGAGTTTCGTGTATATGAAAGTGAATCACACACTTTCGAGTTATGTATATTTATAGAGGGTTGGTGTGTACGGATCGGACGGTGGAAATTATAGGAATCTTGTTGACATTTGGAAGAGACGATGATGATTAGACAAACCAAATAGCATATCGATTTATTAAAAAAATAGATTAAAAAACAGAAGATGAGGTATTTCCTTTTTGAAAAATAATATTCAATTCTACTTTTTAAATCTATTTTCTAAACTTAATGATGTATAAGTGATACAATTAGTTAATTATTAGAAAAAAAAATGAGCAAAAATGCTATCTTTAATATTTTAATTAATTGTCATATCATTGGGTTTGAAAATTGAGTCTAATTTTTAGTTGCATACCAATGTTTTATATATATATATAATTTTATTTTATGGAAAAGAATATTAAATAATTGAAAAATAAAAGTCAAGTATGTGTTCGTTCGGCCATAGTTTGCAATTTGAATTCATCCACTTCACTTATTTATTTGTTATAAATTTGTTTATTTTATTTATGTGATTTTTTTTTTTTAAATTATTTGCCGGCTTCAACTTGAATAACAATTTGATCAAGTTCTATTAGACATTTTGTAATGGAAAATTTAAAAAGGTTGTTCCTTGTTTCAATAAAGGGCTGTGGTATGATGAATAGGTCGTTGATGAAAAATGTTTTAGACTTTTATAAATATTTGATAATTTAATTTATAACGATATGATTTGATCAGTATTAATTTTGTATTAGTTACACATTCAATGATATGAGACTCACTATTCTTATCATATAATTATGAAAAATGTTTGAGGGTCACAGTCGTTTTGACAGTTTTGAGCCATTGTGACCACAAAAATTGTGGTCCTCTAACATTGTTGTATAATTATAAATATATTTATAAATACAAAATGAGAGTCTCTTTCATGATTGGTTGGGTGTTTAATGGGCCATGCTACAGACCCCCAGTGGGATGACCCCCACTGACGACCCCCAGTGACGTGTCGCACTGGGGTTGGTCGAAAATTTATACAAAAAAAAAAAAAAAAAAAAAGTTTTTTTTTTCCAATGGGTGGCCACAATGGCTCAAAACTGTCAAAACGACGTCGTTTTGAGTGCAAAACATGCCAAAACGACGTCATTTTGGCAGTTTTGAGCCATTGTGACCACAAAAATTGTGGTCCTCTAGCATTGTTGTATAATTATAAATGTATTTATAAATACAAAATGAGAGTCTCTTTCATGATTGGTTGGGTGTTTAATATAGCTGCAACTAAAGAAATCGGACGAATTACTTTTTGTTTGTTAGATCCAGCCGCTGATTTCTTTTTATATTCCCATGAACCTGAATTTCGGGACCATATGCCCTTCACTTTCACGGTTAAGAAAGTAAGGAAATATCAAATCAGTAGTTTTCAGAAAAATAATTATAAATCAGTGAAAAATGTATTAATAAGAATTAAAATTACAAATTTTTTATGATTTTATAATTATTTTTGAAACGTTAAACTGAAATGTAATTTTTCCTAAAAAGAAAATGATTAAAAAAAAGGGGAAAATTACTTGTCAATGGGTTGCTATAAAATTATTACAAAATCATGAAAAAGTTTATATTTTTAATTACTTGTCAGTGAACTGAAATTACTCCATAAAAAATTTAGGTAAAGAAAGATGTGGCAAAATGCCCATACAGATAGTTTTTTATTTACAAAAATGATATTGCCTTGTTATTTTTGTGATTTTTGTGATTTTTTTTTATATATATAGATATAAATTTTTCTTAAGATGCTTTGAAGTCTTTTAATGAGATTGGGGTTTAAGCAGGGGCTGTCTGGTGCTGTTGGGTCAGTAAGGACTCACTACGGGTCTCGTTTCGATAATTTAAATCGTTTAATGTATAGAACTGGTCGAGTATTACATATCTGTAAAAGATTACATTGATCGGATATTAATAACTATCTCATCGGATCAATTTTTTGTCAATCGTTTATTTTTTCACTGTTTATTTTTTTTTATACAAAACTAATTTGATCATGTAGCTATCAATATCCGATCGACATGATTTTTTACAGTCATATAATACTCGACGAATTTTACATATTGAATAATTTAAATTATCGAAGGACTCATGATAGACTCCACGAGTTCAACAACACTTTCTAATCCAATCTAAGACTAGAGGGAAGCCATAGGTACAATTTCTCACCAGCTCAAACTGAAGCTACACTCAACACTCTTACACATATTTAAAAAAAATAAAAAATAAAATAAAATAAATTTATAAAGTCTCAAAACTAATTCCAAAGCCACAAGCTTGTTTATAATTTTTTTTATTATTATTTTTTATTTATTTTGAGAGTTGCTAGCAAAATATTTGGGACAACTCTTTATTGTTTAGGAGACAAAAAAATATCTTAATATCTTGAAAGTAAATAATTTAAAAGTGGAGAGAGTGATACTTTTAACTTTTATTTTATTTTTAAATTAAAGTCTCGTTTGATAACTATATGTTTTAGTCAAAGTTGACTAAAAACTGACTTTTTGAATTTTTTTTTAAAAAATATGTAAAAAAAATAAAGAGATGATGTGACCCAAAATAAGTTAAAAGTTGATTTTTGACTTTTAACCATCTTTTCAAAAAAGGCCTATAAGTTATCACATCATTCTCTATTTTTCTACGCATCTTTTCGCAGTACTAAAATAATTTATTCCCAAAATAATTTTATTTTTACCTTTTATTTTTTAATTATCAATTTTTGACCTGAAAAAAATTACACCAAACAAATTAGTGCACTTTCGTACTTGCCAAAGACCATTAAGTTCGTTACAAAAAAAAAAAATGACCGTTAAGTTAGGGATAGTTTCTTGGCTTATTGACTACAACATTCCATTGATTTGTCTCATTTAGGTTAGAATTTAGCTTTAAATCAAATATAAAATTAAATTATGCTAAATCAATAAATACTACTATAAAAGGTTAAATTTTTATAATTTCATTATACTTTTCACCTATCTTAAAATACTTTTACATGAGTTTTGGTTTTATATTTTAAAAATTGTTTTTACAAGAGTTTTGGTTTATTTTTAGTGAATCTTTTTATAGAATAATCAATTTTTTTGTAATTATGAGATGCACCTAATTAAGATACATCTAAAAAGTAAAACAAATTGGATAAAATTATTTTTAAAAATGCTATAAATAAATAAAAAAAATTGAACAAAAATTTGTGTGCATTTTTATTCAGATCTTCGGCTATTTTTACTGAATTTTTTTTTTTTTTTTTGGATTTTTAGTTTAAGATCTCTAGTGATATTTTTTTAGAGGGATAAGGACTACAGAATTTTCTCTTTAGTTTAGGTTTTCCATAATACATGGTGATAAAATTCTATAACTTTTTTAACTCATTTGAAAATTTCAAAATTTTATAACTTTTGATCTAAATCTCTATTTTTTTTTTTAATAAAATTTATATATTTGAAGTCCTTTCATTAATATCTGTAAAACAAAATCCATGATAAATACAAAATTCTAAAAATAAATAATAATAATAATAATAATTGACCAAGTCAGTTAGTGAAATTTTGATTGGTCAATGAAATTTTGATGACCATGTCAGGTCATTGAAATTTCAGTTGGTCAATAAAATTTCAATGACCAAGTCATGTTAGTAAAATCTTGGATGGTCAGTGAAATTTCAATAACCAAGTCAGTGAAATTTTATAAATTTATTTCCTCAGAATTTCATATTACTCATGAATCTTGAAAGATCTTGTCAATAGAATTCTAAAAATATAAATTTTATAAAATTAGATATGCAAATCAAAAGTTATTAAATTTTACAAAAATGTTTCATGCCCCCTTTTCCCCCTACCCCTTTTGACCCCCTCTCTCTCTCATTGGTTACATTTTCTTTTTCTTTTTTCTTTTTTTCCTGCTCCTCCAATCACCACCCGCCATGTATCTGTGGGGGTTGTGGGGGTGGTGATTAGAGGGGGTCTCTATCATGACTCTAAATTTTAAAATCACTTAAGCAATGGCTTCGTTTGGAAACTTTGCTATTTTAGTTGATTTTTTAGTTTTTTAGCCTGGCTAAAAAAATTATGATTGAGATGGTGGTTGACTTTTTCTTTTTCTTTTTCTTTTTTTTGTAGTTGATTTGATAATTGTGAAAGAAAAAATAAAATAATTGTGATTTGAATGTGATACTTTGTTTTATTAACTATTTTAATTTTTTTTTAAAATAAATAAATAAACCAATCCCAAACACGGCCAATCTAAATGGTGGGATAAAAGGCCCAAGCTACTAATAATAAAGGTTCTGACCAAATCCCTCATAATAATAGCACTTAGAAGTCTCAATTAGGAATGGAAATTATCTTGGATCTTTCTTAGGCCTCGCTTCCTTTCAGAAATAGAGCATGTAATCGAGTTTAATAGTGACTAGGACTTGCTAGAATTATTTGTTTGCAATATAATCCCAATTGATTGTTAATCCCAATTGACTCTGAATCCCATAGATAGAGTACGAATCGTACGGATAGAGGGGATTGGCAAAGACCAAGTACTCCAATTATAAGGAGGATGCATTGCTAATTTTTTTTTCATTTTTTTAATATTTTAATTTTAGATGCATCTAATCTTGATTCATCTAAAAGTTTCAAAACAATTAAAAAAAAATCAATAAAAATTCATTTTCAAATAAATTTTGAAAATATAAACTAAATTCCTAAAACCTTATGGCCCTGATTGTTTATCGTATATAAGGGTCAGATATGAGATTGGGGTCAAATATAATGTGAGATGAGTCTCACATTTTTTTTTTTTTTCCTTATATCCCGTGTCTGGTTGTTCTGCATATAAGGAGTCCAGATAGTATATGATGCAAAATGAGATATACAATATTACTTCTCATGATATTGTATATCTCAACCTAAGACAGTAGTGCACTTAGTAAAGGCTTGGGGGTTTAGACCCCAGATCTGCAGTTCGACAATATTACTTCTCATGATATTGTATATCTCAACCTAA